CCCCCCCCCCGCTGCACACCCAGCCCTGGGCTGCAGCGCCAACCCCTCCCCCACTGCGGTGTGCAGAGCCCAGCCCTGCACCCAGCCCTGTGCTCAGCCTGCACCCAGCATGCAATCGCCCTGCACCCAACGAGCACCCAGAGTGCACCCAACTTTGCAACAACCCCACAGCCACCCTGCAACCACCCTGCACCCAGCACTGCAGCTGCACTGCACCCAGCCAGCAGCAACCCTGCACCCAGCCTGCAATCGCCTGCACCCAACGTGCACCCAACCTTGCAATGACCCTGCGCTCAGCCTGCACCCGGCACAGCACCTGCTCTGCACCCTGCAGCGGAACCACCCTGCACCTATCCAGCACTCAGCCTGCACTGAGCACTGCAGCTACCCTGCGACCACCCTTCCCCCATGCTGCAACAACCCTGCACCCAGCGTGCACCCAGCATTGCAATGACTCTGCATCCAGCGTGATCCCAGCATTGCAATTGCCCTGCACCCAACCTGGAATCACCCTGCACACATTGTGCACCCAGCATTGCAACAACCCTCTAACTGCCCTGCACCCACCCCATGTCCAGTGCTGAGCCCACCCTGCACCCAGCCCTGCAGCAAGCACCCAGCACACCGTGGGGCTGCAGACAGCCCACGAGGAGCGGGGCACAGACCCCTGCCTCCCCCCCACAACCCCCCATCCATGCCTCGGTTTCCCCACGTGCGCACGCAGGGTTCCTTCGGGCATCCCGCAGGCTCAGCGCCACCCCCTTGGCACTGCTCTGCACGGGCGGCTCGCTCCCCCTCCCCAGACAGGGAGGGCTGACCGTGGGGGTTCCTCCGCAGCCCCCCTCCCTCGCGTTGCCAGAGCAGCAGTTGGGAAATTGTGCTGACAGCAGCAAAAGGAGCGGGCGCGGGCGGGCGGCTGAGCCCACGTGCTCCGGCCCCATAGCGGGGGGCTGCGGGCAGCGGGTGGATGAAGGCCCCCCAACCTCCTTCTGCCTACAGCGAGGGGATGGGGGGGGAGGGGGGGCGTCACAGATTGGGGTGTGCAAAGGTGGGGAGGAGCGTGCAAAGCGGGGAAGGAGTGGAAGCGTGCAGCAAAAATGCGGGAGCGTGCAGGATTGACTGCAAAGGATCGCGCAGGGCTGTGCAAGAGATGCACACAGATGTACGCAGATGCACGCAGGACTGAGCGTGCAAAAGCCCAGGAAAGGATCGTGCAGAACCCCGCACAAACAGCTGCATAGGACTGCAGACAAGTGCAGGACTGAGGGTGCAGCAGCGTGCAGGAAAATGCAGCCTTATGCAGGATTGAGTGTGAGGCAGCAAGTCCACGGGGACCCCCCCCCCCCCCAGCGTGTGCCCCCCACGCCCCTCCTTGCCCCATTTCCCTGCTGCACCCTGCTGACCCCTCCAGCACAGAGCAGAGGGCGCACGATGGGGCCGAGAGCACAGCAGCACCCAAAGGTCCGCCCCACTGTCCCCAGTCCCCCTTAACCACAGCGCAGAGCGACCTTAACAGGGAAAGTGAGCTGCTGCCAGGGCCTTATCAGGGAGTATTTACAGCCGCCGTGTTCCCAATTAGACATCAGGTGACTGCGGCTGCTGGGGACCCAGACGTTGGGGTCAAGGTCACGGGTTGGGGGTGGCAGAGGGGCGGCTGCTTCCCTTGGGGACAAGGGGATCGCGTGGCCGCCGGGAGCCCCCAGCACCCTACACAGGGTCACCCATCGGGGTTTTGTCCGCACCCTGGTTGGCCGTGAGCTGCCCAAAGCCATCCCCGTTTGGTGACCCCCGTGTGGTGGGGGCTGCGGGGCACACGTGATGCCAGTCAGACCGCGGTGGCTCCCGGGGGACCGAGGTGACACCCGGCACATCCGCCCGCGCCCGCTGTGATTTATGGCTCCGTCAATCCCCTTTGTTGGGATTACAGCCACCGGGTGCCCCCCTCGGTGTCATTATCCGTCCTTGGGCTGCAGCCAGCGCTGGGTGAGGAGCGGTCATAGACTGCAGAGGGGTAATGGGACACGTCCAGGGATGGGGACGGGTCCTGGGGTGGGGACGGGTCCTGGGGTAGGGATGGCCCTATGGGGGGATGGCCCTATGGGGGGGATGGGTCCTGGCAGCACAGCATGGTGCTATGGGTCTCCTGCCTGCAGGATGCTCTGCAGAGATTCACTGGCAAGCCCTGATCTTCCTTGCTGCTCTGTTCCCACCCCGGGATGCAGAGGGATGTGGGTGACAACGGGATGCAGAGGGGATGTTGAGAAGCACGGGTGACATCGGGGAGCGTGGTGTCCCAGCAGTACGGGTGAGACCCCTCCTCAGCCCCACAAATGATGCGCTCAGGGCCTCAGGTCCCTGCCAAAAGGACTCCACCCATTTGTCCCCCCATGTGCCTGCTGCCACTGGGGCCACATGTGCCAGCAGGGCTCCAGCTGGCGACGAGCCTGGATAGCACAGGAGCTGGCCTGAGGCACGAGCTCTGTTCTCCTGGCATGCAAGGACAGTGGCTCGGGGACCACTCTTGGCTACCAAGCCTGGGTGCTGCACCGCGCCTCAGTCACCCCATTTGGATCCCAAAGGCTTTGGGACGACCCATGTCAGAGCACACGGGGACACAACGTGCCACCCAACCACTGCCCTCAGAACCAGCGGCGCCCCTCGGACTGGGATGGGCGTCAGATGGAGAAAAGGGGACGGTGGGGGACACCCGCTCGGGGTGGGAGCCATTTGGAGCGCCGGGATCCTCTCTGCAAGGTCTGAAAGGGAAGGAAAGAGGGAAGGAACCCCCGTACCTCTCTCACGGACGAAATAGGCCAAGTAGAGGTCGAGCTCTTTGACGGAGACGCTGATGTGGTGGGGCTGGATGCAGAGGATGGGGTTGGTGCACTGGCCCGCCTTGACCAGCCGCTCGCCGTCGGTGCTCTCCAGGGGGATCCCTTTGAAGAGGATGACCATGACCAGGTCGAGCCTCCACACCTTGTCAGCCTGCCGCAGGCAGTCGATGCGGCGCATTTTGCCCTTCTGGTCGGGGTTGGAGAGGACGCAGCACGACGGCTTCTTGCCGGTGATGGAGAGCACGAAGTCCTCGCGGCACTCGGGCCGGATGTCTTTGCGCAGCTTGGCCAGGAGGCGCGAGGCCCATTTCTGCTTCACCTCGGGCTTCTCGCTCAGCAGCTCGTCCTTCACCGCCCGCTCCTCGTCCTTCGTCATCCTCTTCTCGTGCTTCTTGAAGTACTTGCGCTTGCGGGCCTGCAGGTTGAACCAGGTGTAGGCGAAGGCCCGCACGTGGGGGAGCAGCGCCTCGATGAAGGGGTGGAACTCATCCTGTGGGGCACAGAGACAGCGCGTCACCCCAGGGCCCCGGAACGCGACCCCAAACCCAACCTCATCCACTTGTAGGGCCACGATGGGGACAGGCCCCCAAACCCACCCCTGGCCACTTATGGGGCCAGGCCCAGTGTCCCTAAACCCAACCTTATCCACTTGTAGGGCCACACCGGGGTCAGAAGCAGCGTCTCCAAACTCAACTGTAGAGCCCCATTGGGGCAGAACTGGTGTCCCAAACTTAACCCCAGCCACCTGTAGAGCACCAGTGGGGCAGACCTGGTGTCCCCAGACCCGCTCTTGGCCACATGTGGAGCCCCACCAAGGACGGATCTGGTGTCCCAAACCCAACCCCAGCCACCTGTGGGGCTCCAATGGGGACAAACTTAATGTCCCCAAACTCTCCCATGGCCACTTCTGAGGACAGACCCAGTGTCCTTAAACCCATCTTCAGCCACCTGTGGGGCTATGACAAGGACAGGCCTGGTGTCTCCAATCCAACCCTCGGCCTCTTGCGGGGCCATGCTTGGGACACACCAGATGTCCCCAAACCCCCCATGACCACTTGTGGGGTCACGCTGTGCCACGTCCCCATCCAGCCAGCACCCACAGGGCAGGGACATGGCACATGCCCACCACAGGGACAGGGACCCCGACGCCACTGCGATGCCAAGGGGGGCACAGACATCACTCCCCGTCCCCATAAATCCTGCCCAGGGTGCAACGGAGCCACGGGGGCCACCCCACACCTCACCCAGATGCCAAGCATCTCCCAGCACCCGGGCTGCCGTGTGGTGTGGGCATGGGGCGGCACGGCGGGGCTCCCCCCGGCACGAGGGAACTCCCCCCAGTTTGCCCCAGTTCTGGGCAGCCCGGCTGCTGGCGCGAGGCCCGGTGAGCAATGCGTGCTCTGACTGTCTTTTTCCATTTGGCTGCTGGACGAGTCCGTCCCCGAAAGAAAACAAGGAAAGTGCATCCATCTCCACGGCCCCTCCTTCCCGCATCCGATTCTCCCAGTTCGGAAAAATCCGTGCTTGGGTTTGCATTGGGAACGGCCCCCGCACCCCAAATCCCAGCTGGGAGGCGGCAAAGCGCGGCCACCAAACCCTTCAAAAATCATCTCCTCCTCCCCCGATTTTCTTGCTTTCCTCCCGACTGCAATCGCAGCGACGAAAGGGCGAAGCAGAGCGCAGGGTCTCAGTGCAGCCGGGAGGAGCTGCGCCTCGGCCACCGCAGCCCTGTCCCCAAGCGACCTCACTGCTCACTGCTCCCTGCTCCAGCACGGAGCCTCAGCCCCATAGCAGCCCCACAGCAGCCCCACACCGGCCCCACTGCCCCAGCACTGCCCCCGCTGTCCCCCGACCCAGCACAGCCCACCAGCACAGCACCACCAACCCCAAAAGTCTCCCCAGTGCACAAACCCAATTATTTTCCAGCACAATCTCACCCTGGAAGCTGATGGCCCCTACTCCAGAGCCACTTTTTTCCCCCTACCAACCCCAACAGCATTAGCACAGCTCTGGCCCTTCATAACCCATAAGGGATCCATCCTGTGCGTAGGATCCATCCTGCCCTTGGGATCACATCCCACCCGTAGGATCCCATCCCACTCACAGGATCACATCCCACCCACAGGACCCCTTCCTGCCCATGGGATCACATCCCACCCATAGGATCCCATCCTGCTCATGGCAATCCTCCTGCTTGTAGGATCCCTCCTGTCTACAGGATACACCCTGACCACAGGATTCCCATCCTGCTTACAGGATCCCATCCTGCCCACAGAACCTCATCCACCCACAGGATCCCATCCTGCCCACAGGACTCATCCAGTCCCTAGGATCCCACTCTCCCCACAGGACCCCATCCTGCCCATAGGACTCATCCTGCCCATGGACTCGCCCCTGCTGGCTGTTCCTGGGACGTCCGCAGCCCCGCGTGGCCGCAGGCTCTGGTTCCCTCCCCAGCAGCAGCCGCTAATTCACTGCAGCTGGGCAAGGGCTGGGCATGTGTCTTAAATCAGGGAAGAAGGTCAAAGAAAAGTAAGACAGGAGCCGAAAAAAGAAGCAGCAAGTTCCAAAAACAATACTTGGCCGGGGCGGTGGGCGGCCGATCTTCCTTGGTGGCCGGTTATCCAGGCAAGCCCTACAAATTGCTGCCATACCCCAGCCCTGCCAACACCCCGGGCAGGGGCAGCCGGAGGGCACTGGCGTTGACCCACTGCAGGGACAGCAGGGAGGGAGCACTGTGAACGGGCACAGGGGACGCTCGGCGCCCTCCGGATGGTCCCACTGCAGGGTGACGATGGCCAGCGATCACCCCACAGGCACCACGGCGGGATTAGGGCGAGCCAAGAGCCGGACCCAAAGCCGATCAGCCCCGCGCCAACTTTCCCTCCCGCCCAGCTTATCCCACACGGGGATGCTGCATCCAGCTAAGCTGCTTTAGCGGGGCCAGGCGGGGGCACAGGGACAGCCGGGGGGACGCCGCGCCTGGGGACAGCCAAGGCTCACTGCCGTCCCAGCAGGGAGCTGCGTCCCCGTGGCACCCGGGACAGTTTGGGGACACCGTGGTTGTGGTTCCCAGGTCCCCGCTGCTTGACGTTGGGGACCCCAGGGGTCACCCTGAAGCCCGCCGCCTCACAGCGGCACGACGCAGCGCCGGCACGGGGCTGGTTAACTTTTTCCCCTGTTGTTTTTCATTTGCTGGGCTGGGAAGCAGAGACATGCTGCAATACCACAGACAAGGCTGTTCTCAGGGCATTTCCGGCCGGGAATCTGGCAGCAGAGTCTGTTCTTGGGGCCCTTCCAGCCCGGGCTTGTAAAGCCCCGCAACCCGAGGAGGAGCCGCCCGCGTCGGGGTGCTGCTGGCACCGGGGTGCTGCCGGCACCAGGCCCCCCCACACTGCCCTTCCAGGCAGGGGAGTGTTTGCAGGAAGGGGAAACCGAGGCAAGGCAAACCTTGGCTCCATCCCAGTGCCCATCTGGGATGGATGGATAGACGGATGGACGGATGGACAGATGGATGGATGCCCTGTGTGGTGCTGGGCACGCCGTGTTGGGATGAGCAGCACAGCGAGGTGCCTTCCGCCCTGGAGAAAGAGGGGGATGCACTGTGCCACCCAGGGATGTGTCACGGGGGGGGGGGGGGCCCTTCCTGCACATGGGAAGGGTGGGCAATTCCATGCCACACGCCAAGCACTGGGCATCACAGCCCGGGGATCACAGGCACTGCGGGATGGGCACCAGAGCACAAGAACTATGGCACGAGCAGCACTGGCACCACGGCACAGGATGCACCATGGCACGGGCACTGATGGCACGGGCACAGGTTCCATGGCACGACGGCATCACAGCACGGCGATCTGAGGATCCCTTGCATGAGCACCTCGTCCAAACAGGTTGAGCTCTGTGAGCTCTGAATTTTCCAATAAAAAAAAAAAAAAGAAAGCACCAAAACCCCACGTTTCCTCAGGAAATTCCCGAGCAGTTTGCATGGGGGGGAGGAGGAGGAGGAGGAGGAGGGGTTGGGGACGGGAGTGACGGTGACGGCGGGTCACCCATCGCGGTGCGGGACGCGCAGGCAGCACCTCGGCCCCGCGCAGACCACACAGGGTTGGTGTTATTAAAGGATGCTCAGCCTCTCCGCCAGCCAACCACACACCTCAAAAACGCTGCCGGCTCTGCGGCTGCCAGCTCCCCATCCCCGCGGCCGGACGAGCCCAGGCAGGGGCTGGCACGCTGCGCTCTGCGCCGTGCCCTGCAGGAACCCCGCTGCGAGCAGGGGATGCACCACGCTCCCCTATTCCCCAAAATCCCAGTCGTGGCTGCCTGCAAACCCACGGTGCAGATGGGGAGATGCTCCCTGCGCTCGCCCTGCTGTTGGTTTCCCCACGAACGCGCGGCGAGGCCTCCGGTAGCCGCTTATTAACTGTTCACAGCAACGGCGCTCGGTAATAAGTTAACCTGGTAATGAGACCTGTTGCTGAGACAGATGCAAATGATTTGAAAGTGCTCATTAGAGTGCATTGAAGGAAGGCACTTAGTCCCTGAAATGCACCCAACCTTTCTCGGGGCCGTCCCTGCAACGTATTAGAGCCCATTTTACAATAATTGCTCCAGAGGAGGAAATCTATTTGGATTCATCATCAAGTATTTATTAATGAGAGCTTATTCATAATTTTTGTTGCTCTCCAGCACGGTGCAGCCAAGCTTCCCGGCCGGCTCTGCAGGTCCTGGTGCAGGTGAGCGGCCGGGAGGGAAACTGAGGCACGCTGGATGCTGTGTGCTGCACAAACCAACGCCCAAAGCATCTTCAGAACCAAACCAGAGGAGAGACAAAGGCTGCATGCGTTCGCCAAGCGGGGCCAGCGGGTGGGGAAGAGCTGGATGCTCTGAGATGGAGCAGGCAGGGGGGGTTCCCCATGGAGTGCACCCCGAAATCAGCCCCAAAGAGGATGCAGGATGGGCGTGTGGTGCAAGCAGGGCCACGGGACAGCGGTGGACACGAGCAGCGCCTCCCTGAGCTTGAGGACAAAGGGAGCCCCTCACTGCCACCCCAAGCAGGGGCTGGGACTCAGAGCTCGGTGGGGATGGAACGCGCCGTGCCACCGCAGCCGGAGGTGCCCGGGGGCAGAACACGCTGTGACAGCCGCTCTGTCCCCGTCTCTCCCTGCTTTGGGGTGGGGACGACCCGGCCCCGTGCTTGCAAAACGCTCACAGCCCACGCCGGGGCTGCAGGAGGACGCAGGGCCAGCTCCCAGCAGCGCCCTGTGCCCGTGCAGAGCCCACTGCTCCCGTCCCTGCTCTGGTGGCACCACATAGGCACGGCACAAAGGTGGGAGCGCTCACACCACGGGGTCGGGATGCAGCCCAGCATCCCAAGGGCAGGATGGATTCAGCCAGGATGGACATACGGACAACGAAAGGCACAAAACGCTCCATCAACCACCTCAACTCAGCAGCAGCGCGCAGACACCTGCGCAGGCAGGGATGCTGTGG